AGCAGCAGTCTGTATTTTGGGGATCTCGTTATCATAACAGCGTATGTTTTAGAAAATAATGATATATTCTGAAAGCGCGTGGAGTTTTCTATCAGTCTGTATATTTGCCTTTTCGTTTGAATATATGTATTACCAAAAAAACTTGAGTAAAATAAAGGTACCCTCATGTCCAAATTCCCACAGACTTGGTTTTGTCACTGTCATAAAAATTAGTTTTTAAAACTTTTCATCATTCAATAATTATCTTTTGAAAAAAGTAATTATAAATTCTGATAGAGCTTGAAATTCTCTATCATCTTGTATATTTGTTAACTATTTTGCATTTATGTGCTGGAGAATAATTCGAGTTTTACGTTGACACGTTCCTTGACAAGCTTTAAAAAGAAGTAGCTTTTTTACTACCTCTGTCGTTTTTTGTTTCAAAAGTACACGATGATAGAGAATTTCAAGCTCTATCAGAATATATAATTACTTTTTTCAAAAGATAATTATTGAATAATGAAAAGTTTTAAAAACTAATTTTTATGACAGTGACAAAACCAAGTCTGTGGGAATTTGGACATGAGGGTACCTTTATTTTACTCAAAGTTTTTTGGTAATACATATATTCAAACGAAAAGGCAAATATACAGACTGATAGAAAACTCCACGCGCTTTCAGAATATATCATTATTTTCTAAAACATACGCTGTTATGATAACGATATCCCCAAAATACAGACTGCTGCTTATTTTTTTCAGGGGTATAAATCACAGCTAGAATAACACTGAACCAAACAATGCATCATATGTGCCTCGAGAACTATTTTCAAGAAAAAAATTAGGACGAAAAATTTACCATCAATGCATTAAATCCGTGGCTAGATATTTCTTGACTTTTATCATCCGCACGACCCTTTCCGAGGACATAATTCAATGCTTACCTAACAGTTCGTGAAATTCTGCATGGATTCATCTAGATTTCAAGCCCTTTCAGAAGAATAGACAGTCGGTGCAAATGATCTAGTTAGGTTTGGCAATAAATTCGGGAGAGACTGCGACCAGCTTTTGCAAACTTCCATACACACCATTCGTTTGTCAAAGGAGCCAAAATAATTCATTTGCTAGCTCACTGAAGTCTGAATCGATTGCCGTTTTTTTAATACCACGGCAAACAAATCAAGTGTCTCTGTAGAGGATTTAGTGAGGTTTAGTACAGAACTTCAGGGGAGTTTGGCAAGTTTTTGATCATTATCATAAAGAACATTCGTGTGTCTATGGAAAACAAGATGTTTTTATATAGCTTATCGAGTTCTGTATCGATGGGAGTGCTTTTGATGCACCAGAAAACGAATGTAGAAGCACTGTGCATAGTTTTATGTAGTTCAACACAATATTTCATATGATTTCGGCAAGTTTTCGGTACATTTCATATAGGCCATGTATTTACTGAGGAACAAGCTGTATGTTAAATATCTTATGAAATTTTGCATCGATTGGCTTAGATTTTGGTGCTTCAGAAAATGAATAGGATGGCATCATAACGCATTCAGAAAACTGCTATTTCTCTTGAAAAATTGCTCCCACTAATAATATCCGCTGTCCACGCTAATTTTCATTGGTTCCCGAAAGATAACCAATAGAATGGTCATCGCGATCGTGGTGACGCATCGTGTTGTAGTAGCTTCACGTCGATTTCAGGCGATAGGAGATAACCGCTCGGTTCGTTTGAAGTATGAAAGTAGATAGTCAGCTGCTTGCTAACGGAACTATACAAGATACGCACTTTCTAAATTTGATTCTATGCATTTAAGATCCGTAAATATTACGCAGAAAATTTCATTTTATCGACGAAACTTATTGCATCAGCGGGAGATTATGGACGGAAAGAATGCTGAATATGACAACATTGCTTCGGAGTTCAAGGCAAATATTGGATTAGATTCTCGTGACCCAACTGAATACTACACATTTGAGAAATTTATTCTTGGACCACTACTGAATGCGCGGGGACTGTTGACAGAAAAACGTGTACTGGACATAGCATGCGGTGAAGGGCTTTATACACGCCGATTGAAAGCATTTGATTGTGATTATATCCTCGGTGTTGATATCAGCTCAGAAATGATTAAGCTTGCTCGCGATGCTGAATTGAAGGATCCAAAAGGTATTGAATACATGGTTGCTGATGTCAATCAACTACCAATACCTGAAAAACCATTCGATTTGGTCACTGCCGTTTTTTTACTAAATTATGCTCGTACGCGAAAAGAACTTCTTAAGATGGCAAATATTATCTATGCACAACTTGGCAAAAATACACATTTTATTGGTTTCACAAATAACATCGCCGGAAGTACAAAAGGATTTAATATGACGAAGTATAGATTTTTTAGGCATGTAAAAGATCCTTCGGAAGATGGAATAATACCAGAGGGAACAGAGGTCTTCATTACTCTTCTAAACATGGAAAACAAGCCAGCATGTACATTTTCGACCTATTACTTATCACAAAAGACTTATGAAGAAGTTTTCAAAGAAGCAGGCTTCACAAAATTTGAATGGATACCCATCCAATGTGATCCTGCTGCATCCAATAAAGAATTCTATGATGACTTAATTGAAAGTGCTAGTGAAATCGGTTTCATAGCAAGCAAATGATGCTGTTACTCAATTATGACTCGTCGCAGTGATGATTGTATGTTTTTTTTTCTTAATATTTAATCGACACTTTCTCGAAAAACAGCGATGAAACAGATTTCTATGAATCAGATCTTTGTGAACAAAAACACGAATTTTACCAGTGTTTTTAAAGTACATATAACATTTGTCGTTGCATTTTTGAGTCCGACAGTAGCTTCTCGTTGTTATGTTTACCATTATTTCTTGAACAGTCTAAATATGATACGTGCTTAAAGATTTTGCTCACTTCAAATTATTTATATCAGCAATTCTTCAGAGTGCATTAGGTTGCAATAGAATGCTGTAGCTCGATTTCATCGTCAGTCTGCCATTCAAAGATGCTAGACTTATTTTATATTGATAAGATAAACCTCATCGCTGTGGTACGAGACACCCTGTTGCAAAAAGTTCAAAAGACATAATGCAAGACCCAAATCATATAATTCAGCCAAGAAAACTATTCAAAATATTTGCCTAAACATTTTTCTGTTTTTCAGTTCTAATGTTGTCAAGGATTCATAGCTTCGTCGTATGATTAGGAGAAATATTCAATACATTAATAATAGAACAAGAAATGAAATGAAACAATATACTTGTTGTAAAGCCTTATTTTGACATAGAAGTCATTTTATATTTTATCGTTAAATAAAATTAAACCAGTCAGAATAAAAGAAGGAAGCTACTAGGTAAGTTCAATTTAACAAAAATGTTGTTAATCGACCAGTGTCTTTCAATTGCTTATCAATTCTTTCGCTGCAGCCGGCCGGCTACAGTCTTACGCTTAAATTCGCTCCAGCTCATGGTTGAATGAAGACATCGCAATGGTAGTTTATTGATAAGAGTTCACGGAGGAGTTCTGGCTAGAGATGCTGTCGAGATTTGATGCAGTTGCATATAGTTATCACTAAATACCTTCTATTACCGCAATATATAAGACGAAGTTCCCAAACCTAAACGTTCAACCTCTTTTCACTAAATAAAGACGACCCAGACGCTTTCAAACAAGCTACGAGAATCCGGAGTACTAACTCCTACGAAAGACAATAACTGTCGATATGAGTCTAGAAAGAATCATAGGAGATTTGCACCAAAAGTTATCAGTTGTTGAGGTTTCAATATACGTTCACACTTGTACTGTAAACTATAATCTAAGTGTCTGTCTCTTGTGAAGTTAGTCTAATACATCGATTTCAGTTTGTAATTAATTTGTAAATCCAAAAATTGTCAAGGAGATAAAAGTCAGTTTAATTTTACATCAAGCCTTTCTAGCAATGACAATAATAAGTATGAATCAAAACTCGATTTTCTGGAAAGTATAACTTCTATAGTGGCCTAAAGAAGAACTCTTACATCGATTACTGTCGATCTTTCTGCACACAAAAATGCATCTGTCAATGTTTGACTAAAAGCACGTCTTGCTCTAACTTTTCATAAACTTCGATCGATTTTCGGTGCTTGCCTAGTAATGATGTACTCGTAGGAACACGAGACTTCTTACAATCATAAAAGCATCACGAGAAAATCGCCACTTTCCAGTCACTGAAGAAAATGTCGCCAAGTGATGCGCATCATTATTCATGACTATATTATCTCATAATCAGCCATTGCTTTGAGTACACTTTTATAGAAAAATACAATGTGAAATGTAAAGGCCGAATGTTTCCAAAAATTTCCCTGAAAGTCCTATTACAAGATCCACAGGAAACTTTGTACGCTTGTATGTAATCGAAGATCTAGATTCTCCTAAAGTACGAAGGCAGCGTTGTAACCGATAGCAAAATGTTAAACCTGTCAGGTTCCGTCAGTGACCCAGCTCGTATAAACAACTCTTGAAACAGTGGAATTCCGAGAAACTGCTGATAAACTGGTCAGACTCATGAGATGACAATCATTTTACACCAGCGAAACCAATATTGAAAACAAACGAAGTTGACTGTCTTGCTCGAACAAGTTACAAAATAGTTATATAGGCATGTTCAACCTTTGCGGTCTGTTTGATTAGAATAGCATTTCTGATAAGTGGAACTTCTGGTTTTTGCAATCAGTCTTCGACAAGTAATCTCGCCAACAACAAGTATTTTGGAGAGCTATTGTAGTTAATTTCATCGAGGAATCATTGGGATGAAACCTTTCAACAAATAAATGGGAAACATATGTCTGATATTTACTATTCCTTATGTGTTTTCATTTTCAAAGTAAAATGCCAATAATCTCAGCTTAAACACATATTTGTACATCTGCTTTTCTTGGACGCAAGAAAAAGAGTCGTTTAAATGCTCTACTTTTCGACATGGACACGTACACTGGAATTCGGCTATCGAATAGTCATTGTCATTGCCATCTATAGAAAAACCGGTTAATGAAAAGTACAAGCTATAAAACAATGTACAATCATTATCAATGCAAAAAGTCGTTTTCAATCATGGTAGTAAGTTATAATCAAAACGCATCTTTCGGTCATTTCACAATCGGCCACTTCTCGTTGAAAAAAGCTTCTTTGGGGATCTCAACCCCTTCACCACAGGTAGAATCGAGACAACTTCAAAACTCTGTCACTTTTTGACCGTCAATAGAAAAATAACGTTCTCTCTCTGTGAACGGGTCAGGCATCACTAGCACAGACTACGAAAGGATGAGAGCGCATAAGATAATAAATCGAAGAATTCCTATGTAAAAACTACTGCAACATGGATAAAAAGTTGTGTTGAATCGTTTGGTAATGTTTTCAAATGAAACGAAAATAATTTGAGTCATTATGGGTCATTATACGGTCAGTATATCATACCTATAAAATCCCAATAATATGATTTTTGCTGATTCGCTGGAATGGACTCATTAGACTGCTAATTAATGTTATCAGAGATCGCATGTACATCATTAGAAGGAGCATTCAAAACTGTACAACTATACACATGAAACATGAAAGGATCACATCTGTTTGAGAAAATTGTCTGACCATCCTTTACACAACTACTGCGCCAACATGGATTGCTAAGTAGTTGTCGCAGACATTCTGGACGATCTTTCTCACTTATTTTCAATTTAATACTGTGTCGTTTATATGCCAATTGATAGCCCTTTTGAAGCTCTACAAAATGATACTATTGTCCGAACATGAGTTTTTTTGGAAAAGACACTGAATACATGTATGCAATGCTTGTGCACATAAAAACAACGGATTTTTTGCCTTGCATTCGGTCGATTTCGACTAGAATGACTTGTTTGTTGTTCAAAAATGTGGAATATTTGAAATCTACACGAAAAACTGAATCAGGATATGGATTTTTCACACTACTCTGACAATTTTCATTTTCGTCGAAAAATTCCACCCTGATCCTCACCATTGGGATGTCTCACAAAATGAATTTACCGAAAATATCAAACGTACTATGAGAAACGTGCTGCTAACTTAGCTGATATTGATATGACCTGTCGCTGACCTTCTCTTCCTCTTTGCTCTTCATCTTATCTATGTATTATTCGTTCTTCTTTATGTTCACCTCTCTCCTATATAAGCTTGTGTTGAATGTGAACTAGAGACATTCTAGAAAGGTAAATTAGCCAAATAAACAACATTGTCGAGTGTGACCTCAAGCTACTCACCAAGTCTGCTGTGACGCTAGCTTACAAAAGTTAGATAAAACTGAAAAGAGCAAATCATTGTGATGTCATAGGTTGAGTTGTTGCATGCCATTATCTACTCTCACTGCTCGGTGGAAGTAACTATTCAACCTTCTCTTGTCATTTTTTCTTATTGCATTATCTGTCCTTTCTTCATATTATATGCTTTATTCTTTTTTCGTATTATATACCTTGGCCTTTCTTCTTATTATATACTTTGGCCTTTCTTCGTATGATATGCTTTGTGCATTCTTCTCATTATATGCTTTCTCATTTCTTCGTTTAATATACTTTGTCCTTTTGACTGTCATATTCTTTATCGTTCTATGTATTGTTCAATCATCGATCTCCTTTGACTCTCTCCCTTTTGGATACTTATTAAAGGTGTGTGCTCTCTATGTAACGTTACGATTTTTGATGTGACGAAATAAATACAGTGTAATTCCATCTACACTAACATCCCTCCTATCATGAATCGTTACAATTATGAAGTGAGAACAAGAGTGCTTTAATCGAATTCATTGTGTGAGATATCCCAATGGTGGGGACCAGTGCGAAATTTTTCGACGAAAATGAAAGTTGTCATAGTGTGAAAAATACATATACCGATACAGGTTTTCGTGTTGATTTCAAATATTTCATTTTCGTGTACAACGCTCAAGTCATTCTAATCAAAATCGATCGAATTCAAGGCAAAAATTCCGTTGTTTGATGCTCACTATCATTGCATACATGTATTCAGTGTCATTGCATAAACGACACAGTGTTACATGGAAAATAAGGGAGAGAAATCGTCCAGAATGTCAGTGACAACTACTTAGCAACCCATATTAGCGCGGTAGGGAGCTTCTGGGACGCCACTTTTGCTGTCTCACGGGGCCTACCTGCCAGTAAGTCTGGTAGGACTCGTGACGCCTGCAGGCCAGTCTAAAAATCTAAGAGTGATTTGCTACCTGACCTGGCCTGCGGGTCATACCAGACTGACTCATATTTTTGATTTTGTAAATACGTTTAATTTTGCAAGTCCGCATTAATGTATCATTCTACTTTGAGTAGTTCACTTAACTTATTTTCATAGAGATAAGGTAATGATAAGTTCTTGCACGAAATAGCATATTCCAACAGAAATATAGTTATCATAACAGTTTTTCCTGCAATAAAAGGCTTCAATTAGTGCTATGTTCTCGATCGTGTTAGCTATGTTTTACATTATCTACAAAATGTAATTATCATGATAACTAAAACAACTTGTAATGACACACACCAAGAAGTGATAACAGAAAATATAGAACAAAAATGTAGGGATATTGATATTTATAGAACAGGCAAGAACTTTTACATGTAGCAATCAAGTTTTG